ATTGCTGGCCCAGACAGCTTCTCTCTCCTAAGTCTTGACCAATCCAAATGCTGATGATGTAGCTCTGAGCCAGCCATGCAGCAGGCACCTGAAAGGTAGCAAGGAAGCCTTAGCTTTGGTACGGCATTCTGTCCTCTGCACGCTCCTCTCCCCACCTTGGATGCCCTTTCTGCTTGAAAGACTTATAGGAGGAGCCCGGGTGGTGGTGGCACACACCTTTAATCCCAGCACTCGGGATTCCATAGAAAAGAATGGAGTCTTGATATGTGGTATAACATGGATGGACAAACACCATTCTGAGGCCGAGAAGAAAGGCACAGAAGGCAGTGTGTTGTATAATTGCTTTTATATGAAATGTCCTGAATACACAAATCAAGAGTCAGTTAACAGACTGAAAGTAGCCATGGGCTAAAGAACAAAAGAAAGGGAAGTGACTTGATAGTGGGGCGTTGTTTTACAGGGCCTGACGAAACTGCTCAAGTTAAATCACTGTTGTGGTTGCCCAACTTGTCACAAAGCCTGCATGAGGAAAAAGTAGCTTGTACTTTCATTGTTGTTACCATAATTTGTAGCTGAAACTCAAACCCAAATAAAGTAATGAAGTGTGGGTTAAGTTCAAGTTTTTCATTATGAGAAGCATGCGATATTCTCATCACTGTGGAGAGTAAGTTCTTCGGTCCCACACTGTACAGGGACTCCCATGAGAAGACGTCTTGTTACACCTAATCATGATGGTGAAAGAAAGCCAGATTCCACCTTTGGCATCAGTGAAAAAGCACTGCAAACACACAAACAGAAGCTTTCCAGGAGCAGAAGGACTCACACTCGGAGTCCGCGAGATGGAAGACACAGTCGTAACACCAAAGGCAGCACTTCTGCTTGGCTGCTGCAGGCTAGCTGAGCGCCCTCGACAAAGTGCTGTGATCCCCTGACCTTGACTCCAAGGACGGCTGAGTTGTCAGGGTCTTCCTGGTCCCCAGTCCACGCTCCACCCCCTCCCACCCCAGAAACAGTGAAAGGGTGAAGGTGGGGCTGCACTGCTTCTCTAGAACTGCAGCTTTGCCTACTGGCTAACCTGGGCGTGGAACAAAGGGCCCCCCAGAATCTGCTATTCAGTGACACCCAGTGTCCTAGTAACGATTTCTGTTGCTGCAGTGAAACACCACGACCAAAGAGCAAGTTGGGGAGGAAGGGTTTTATTTGGCTTACACTTCCACAATGTAGTCCGTTGCTGAAGGAAGTCAGGACAGAATCTCAGAGCAGAAAGCTAGAGGCAGGAGCTGATGCAGAGGCCATGGAGGAGTTTGCTTACTGACTTGCTGCTCCTCATGGCTTGCTCAGTCTGCTTTCTTCTAGAACCCAGAACCACCAGCCCAGGAATGGCAGCACCCACCATGGGCTGGGCCCTCACCCATCAATCACTAATTAAGAAGATGCTCTATAGGCTTGCCTACCGCCCATTTGTTTTGTTTGTTTGTTTGTTTACTTAAGGGATGAGTGCTTTGTCTGCACGTACGTCTGCATGCCAGAAGAGGGCATCAGATCCCATTATAGATTGTGAGCCACTATGTGGTTGCCTGGAATTGAACTCAGGACCTCTGGAAGAGCAGTCAGTGCTCTTAACCACTGAGCCATCTCTGTAGCCCTACAACCCACTTATGGAGGCATTTTCTTAATTGAGGTTCCCTGGTCTCAGATGTCTGTGTCAAACTGACACACCCAGTGATACCCAAAGGCAAAGCCTGGTGGCATAGCCCTCCTCAAAGGCTGGCAACGGCTGAACTTGTGACCAGACCCCAGCACAAGATTCTATAATACCTGTGTTAACGTTAACTGCACCTGATTTCAAGCACCCACCTCAAAGCACAGAAGCTAACCTGACATTGTTCTCTAGTTTTCCCACCATATGTTAACCTCTTGTACAGTTCTGGGCTCTTCACACGCATCTTAATCTACTAGAAACGTTTCTTTGTGCCTATGGTCAGTACTCGGTGAAGCAGAGATCTCAAGGACTTTTTTTTTAAACTTATTTATTGTGTATACAGTGGTCTGTCTGCATGTATGCCTGCACACCAGAAGAGAGCATCAGATCTCATCATAGATGGTTATGAGCTGCCATGTGGTTGCTGGGAACTGAACTCAGAACCTCTGGAGGAGCAGTCTTAACCTCTGAGTCATCTCAACAGCCCCATCTCATGACTTCTTTACATTATGTTTTCAGGACAAACTATGGGAAACGCCACAGGGTCTATTCTACAACTGCTGTTCAATTCCCAGGGTATTAGCAAAAGGCTGATTCTTGAACACAGCCCGTGGGCAAATGCCACAGGCTTCAGGATCTAAAGAACTAAGCCTCTATTTTGGGACTGCTAGAGGCAGAGGCAGTTGCCCCCATGCCCTGCCCTCCCACTGGAGCTACTCAGGATTTCTCCAAGCTACAGAGAACTCCTAAAGGAGCAGAGTGTGCAGTGCTGACTCATGCTGGCTGTGGGCCCAGGGGACCACTGGTCAGAAAGGACAAAAAAGCCCTTTCCCTCTGGGCCATGTCTCATAGGGAGCAGTGAATAGCCCAGGCCAGGCCGGGCCATAACAAACACTGTGAACTACTGAAGAAACCAGAGAAAGGAAGAAAGGGCATATAAAAGGTAACCCTGTTTATTTCACATATTTCTACTCTGAACTCAAGTGGAATTTCACGACACAAAAGCAGCCCAAAGCGAGCAATTCAGTGCATTGGGTACGCTCTCAGAATCGTGTAGCCACCATATTTTTCTAAAACATTTTCATTACCCAAAACTCTTAAAAGCACTCAGCAGTGACACCTAGTCCTATCACCCACAAGCCAACCTTTCCCCACGCCTGTAACAGCCAATGTGAATGCACGTGCCTCATATTCCACAGAAACAGAATTAGACAACTTCGAACCCGTGCCTGCCATCCCACTCCCCGAACTATGCTTTGAGCAATCACCCACTGTGTAGCCTAAACCTGTAGGGTGAGGTTCAAAGGAAAACTTGGGACAAATGGCTAAGTATAGTGCGTGCCTATTGACATACCAGAGAGTCTGCTGGCCTCCAGGCCTCCTCTGAGCTCTTCTCACCCTGGCCCCTGCCCTAAACTTCTCCAGCTCCCAGCTTCCTTTCCCCCAGTTTCTCATTCCTATACAACCCTGCCCTCTTGGCTCTTGATCCCCTTGGCCCTGTCTCTTGCTCGCCCCACCTCTCTCCTCTATGGCCTGGTTCTCTCCTGGCTGGCCATGTTTGGTCTACTTTCTCCCTGCTCCGGACCCTTTCTCTGGCTGTATTCCCCTCATATTTACGGTAAACACCTTCTCCTCAACCGTAGCTGGGAGTGAGTGGGCATGCCCCCATTGCATTCAGCTAACCAAAGCTGGGGCATCTACTGAGCTGGCTCCACCTTTTGGCAAGTGTGAAAAGCGCTTACAAATATTTGCGCTCAAATATTTGGGCATAGACTTTCACTCGATTTGGGTACATATCCAGGAGTAATTTGCTTGTACGGAATTCCGCTTAGCCTTCTGTGGAGTCACCAAGCTGCTTTCCATGTATCGACCATTTTAGTTTCCCACCAGCAATGTTTAAGCATTGCGCTTGGTTATTCTTCAAAAAAATCCCTTTCCCCCTTCCAGAAAAGCCCCCCACACACACACACACACTGCTGACCCCTCACATCTGAGATACAGGGCGGGAGAATCTGCAACTCAAGTGGCAGGACCGTCAACAGCATGAGCTTCCCGCCTTGCCTTTTCCAGAACAGGAAGTGTGGGCAGGAGCAGGGAGGCCAGGCTGCAACCTGCTCGGAGTCCCTAAAGGGGACAGACCTCAGGTATTCCATTAATCCCGGTTCTAGGGCTCTTCAGAACTCGGCGCGGACTGAATACCCCGCTGAGGCCCTTAGAGCATCCAAGGGAGGAAGGCGGAGGCTGCACGGCTGGCCTTGGCACTGCTCTACCGCACCCTGCGCTCACACCCCTACCTGGCCCTCCGCCAGTCCGCACCTAGCCCAACCCCAGGGAGCCACCCCAAGCTGCCACCCACCCCTCACAGCCCCCGGGGTCACGGGCGTCCACTCTGCCCACAACGCCTGACCCCGCGCAGCCAATCAGCAGCCGCGCCGCGGCTCGGCCCGCGCCAATCCAAAGGCACCGCCCCTGGCCCGGTGATGCGCGCGCACCTTGCGGTCGCCCTCCCTCCCATTCGGATCAAAGGGAGGGCGTTTGCGGGATGCTGTAACTCTCCCACCGGCCTTGCTCTCGGCCAAGGAGGTCTCGGGTGTGGGCTCTGGTCCACCGCCACCGTGGAGGTCTCGGGCCAAGACGGAACAGGGCAGGGCAAAGCGGTCACGTAGGAGGCAGAGTGCCACCTCAGCAAAGCACAGCAAAGGTTGAGTCGTGAAAGCGTGTGAGAAAGCACGCCAGCCAAGTGTTCAGGAGCATTCCAGGCTGATGTCACCAGGGATGAAAGTAGTCGAGAATGTTCGCACGTCAGCTAGCCTGGCCTGTGTTTGGGGAGCCGGTGTGTGTAGAGGCCACAGGTTGACAGGGTGTCTTCGGTTGTTCTTCGTTTTATTTAGTTGAAGCAGGGTCTCGTTGACCCCATGCGAGGCTAGTCCAGCTAGCTTGCCCAGGAATCCCGAGTCAGCCTCTTGAGCGGGCTTCCATTTAAACCATGTTTTCATGTGGGTGCTGGGATCTGAACTCTGGTTCTCAGAATTGCACGGCAAGCGCTTTTTCCATTGAGCCCCGCGCCCCTTACCTGGGTTTGTAAAGTAAACTAGTAACACTCTTAAATACAAGACGAAGGTGTGACTTTTCCTTTTGCCTTATGCCACAACCTTGAAGATTGGGTCTTAATTTAAAATTCTCATACTGGTCAAAGTTCTACAGCTATAAGTAGTGGGTAGAGCTGATTGCCCCGTCCCCCAAGCTTTAGCTCTTTCCAGAAAGAAGTGTCCTGGAAATTATTATTATTATTATTATTATTATTATTATTATTGCCAAAAAGAATACTTTTATTAAAAAAAAAAAACGGTGAACATTAGGGTTAAAATTCTCAGCACCACAACCAGGAAACTGGAGACTGGAGGCTCCCGCTGCAGACTTCAGGAAGGGGGGGGGGCACGGGTGGGTGCTGAAGGGTGCTCACAGGGGTGGAAATTATTTTAAAATTCCCCTAAATGAACTAAATTAAAATGATTAATTATTAAATTATTAATCATTAAAAATCCTCTAAGTTGAACTAAATGTTCTATTTCTTTCCCGTATTGGAGTTCAACACCTCATACCAGGCCGGCTCTCCACGTGGATGTTTGGTGTTACCACCCTCCAGCTCCAGCACCCAGCGCCAGGCAATGCTTTGAAGAGGCCCCTCACCTACGTACACTGTAGGACCTCAGGAGGACTCCCACGCAGTGGGGGTCCCGTCCAGATCCCGGATGACGCACGAAGCACACCAAACACCTGTTTTCACAGAGCAGGGAAGAGAAGTTCAAGTGGCTGCTTTGTGACTCAGACCTTGTAGGTGTCACACTTAGGAGGAAAGGGGAGGTCTGTGTTAGAATGGGCGAGGATGTCCTGGAAAAGGAGATGGCAACAAAGGAAGGGGGCAGGGATATTTATCCCAGAGGGACAAAGGATAGAGAGGAGACAGGCTAGCACGGGCAAATGGCCACAGAGGGGAAACCCCACGTTAGGATGAGGTGTTTAATTTTAATTGGGCTTGATAATTAGGTGAACCAAAAAGGCCTTCCGATTGCTGGATTTTGGTCGTCAGCCTCAGGTGGAGGAAGTGACCAAATAAGGGAATAGACCTTGGTGGCTAGCTTTAGAAATGCAATTTAATCTTTTTAGCAAAGGCAGAGGGAATGGGAGAGAAGGGCAGGCCCACCAGAGCCACAGGGCCAGTGGACTAGAGTCCCTTCAGGATCCAATTCTTGGCACCTCTGTCTGCCAACACGAAGACACATGCTTTGCTTACTCAATGTCGGTTTGGACGGAAAGGCGGGGAAGAATGGAAGGATAGAAAGGAAGGAAAAGGAGAGAGACCCGATTGGCTTACACTTCCCTGTCGCACTGAGGGAAGTTAGTCCAGGAATTCCAATAGGGCTGGAAATACGCGGGCTTGTTTGCCTACAGCCGGATCCTGTGGAGGCATTTTCTCCTCTCCGGTGACTCTGGCTTGTGTCAAGGTGACATAAAGCTAGGTGCACACAGGGCAGGAGCAGGGACAGGGTGATACTGATTTACTTGTGATTTTTTCCCCCTGTACTGAGGTGTAGAATTTAGGTTCTCACACAGGCTAATCAGGCACTGGGCCACTGAGCCACATCCCCAGGCTTCTTATTCACTATTTTCTTAATTATAAGGCAGGAGCTGACTAAGTTGCCCTGGCTGGCCTTGACTCTGCAAACTTCCTGCCTCAATCGGAGGCTGCCTGCCTATTTCCTAGCCCCTTTACAAAAGCATCAGTACAACTAGGAGTGAGTTCTTTTTCTTTTCCTTTTTAAAATCACATTTCCCTGGGGCTGGAGAGGTGACTCAGTGGTTAAGAGCGCTGGTTGTTCCTCAAGGGGGGCAGGATTTGATTCCCAGCACACACACGGTGGCTCACAACTCCAGCCCAAAGGATCTGATGCTGTCTTCTGTCCTTGTGGCCATAAGGTGTACAGTGGACACCCGTGCAGGTGAAACAGCCATATCCATGAGTCTCAGGGTTTCTATTGCTGTGATAATTTACCAAAGTGACTTGGGGAAGGAAAGGGTTTGTTTCGCTTACACATCCACATAACAGTCCATTATCAAAGCAAGTCAGGGCAGGAACTCAAGGCAGAAGCTGAAGCACAGCCATGGAGGAAAGCTGCTTATTGCTCCTCATGACTTGCTCAGCCAGCTTTCTTATGCACCTCAGGATCACCACCTAGAGGGAATGGGCCCCCCCACATCAATCCTTGACTAAGAAAAATGTCCCACAATCTTGCCAGTCTTATGGGAGCAATTTTCTCAGTTTTTGGTTCTGTCTTCTCAGATAATTCTAGCTTGTATTGGGTTAATAGAACAACAGAAAATAAAATTTAAAAAAAAATTGTGGTGGGGACTGGAGAGATGACTCAGTGGTTAAGAGCATTGACTGCTCTTCCAGAGGACCTGGGTTCAATTCCCAGCACCCACATGGCAGCTCACAACTATCACTCCAGTTCCAGGGGATCTGACACCCTCACACCAATGCACATAAAATGAATCTAAATAAATTATATTTTTAAAAAATGTGGTGGGTTTGAGGAATGCCTGCTCAGAGGACAAGTTGCCGGAACCGGTTCTCTCCTTCCACCGTGCATGCATGGTCCGGGATGAAACTCAGGTCACCAAGCTTTGCACCGAGCACCTTTTCCTCCTGAGCCATCTTGCCCACCCCATGGGTGAGTTCTTGAATCTCTCCATATTGTTATTCTCTATGTAGTACCCACCTCTTAGGGTCACAGTGAAAGACCAATCAAATTCCAGTGGATAAACAGGAGACTGCCTGCCGTCCTTCCGGTGTTCTGGAAGTATGAGCAAGAGAATGGGAACCAATGGGGACTAACACCCATTGGTTCGTTTAAAAGTCCGTGCCCGCAAATCATGCCCAATACATGCATGGGTGTGGTGATTCCATGTTAGCACGCAGAACAGAATGTGTGTCTACCTTTGGCCAAACTCCTTAAGGTCTGGCACCCTGGGTTTTTGGGAGTTAGGCAATGCTATTACCTTTCCTATTCCTTGCCCGGAGTGTTTGTTAGACAGACAGGTTACATCTATGTCCTTGGCCCAAAACCAGAGCCAAGCTTCTCTTCCTATGTACCTGGCAGAATGGTAGGATTATGAGCGGTGGGCACTGCCGTGGTTCCTCCATTTGCTGTGTGACTGCTCCAGCCATTCTCATTGGCCTGGAGCAAGCCCTAGGGGTCGGTCTGTCCCCCAGCTCCACAGTATCGGGGTACACGTATGTGACAGCACAATTTTTCCTTGGGTTCTAAGGATCAAAACCTGGGCGTCATGCTTTCAGGACAAGCATTATGTTTCTTAAGATTGTTAAAAATCAAAATGATAGCAAATTCAGTTATAGTTGACCTTAATTTGCAATTTATGTTTGGAGCAACCCCCATTCTTCAAAATACAGCGAGAGCGTCTATTGGTCAATAGCAGAATCTTATGCTTGCTTTGGGGAGTTGGATTTGTTTGCTCAACATGAAACAAACAAAAAAAAAATCAGATGACTTCAGGCTGCATGATTGTCAGGGTTTAAGTAAAATCCTTATTAAGATGAGGCAGTGGGAGCGGGGCGGTGGTGCATGCCTTTAATCCCAGCACTCTGGAGGCAGAGGCAGGCGGATCTCTGAGTTCTACAGAGCCTGGTCTACAGAATGAGTTCCGAGACAGCCAGGGCTATATAGCAAGACCCCGTTTTGAAAAACAAAACAACAGCCACAAAAGCAAAACATTTATCTTTTTTTCATTTACTTAACTGCTCATTGTCTTTAATTATTTGTTTATTTATCGTGTGTGTATGTGTGTGTGTGTATGTACCACATGCATGCAAAAATCTGAAATCAGAAGAGGGTATTAGATCCCCTGGAACTAGAGTTTCAGACAGTTGTGATCCCAGTTATGTGACTGCTGGAAATTGACTCCAGTAAATGCTCTTAATCACTGAGCCATCTTTCCAGCCCTTCACCTAATTGCTCAGTGCTGAGAAGTGATTTGTCCTGGCAGATACATAGTGAAAGAATTGGGAAAAGATTAGAAGAGGCAAAGGATCAAGGAGTCCGCTGTGCTGGGAGGGTTACATCTCCTAGGAATGTCAGAGCTACCCGCCCCCCAAAAGCCTCACCAACAGCTGGAAGAGAGCTGAACAGCAGCAACAGCCGTGCTAACGTGGACAGAGGGAAAGCCCAGAGGCCTCAACCCTACACAAAAAACTAGAGGCAGTAAAGAATTGCTGAGAGCAGGGGAAATCGTCCCCGGGGAAGACCACGCCAACTGGTTATCTAATACCAAATGGTCAGCCCTAGAAATATGCATAGAAGTGACATTGTGTAGACTGAGCAGGCTGTTTTGATATAATTAGGAATATATATGCATATACATATATTTATGTAACAATGGCTAATGAAAAAAGAGGCCATGAATTTGAAAGTTATTAAGGAGGGGTATATGGGAGGATTTGGAGGAAGGAGAGTGAAGGGCAAAATGATGTATTTATATTATAATCTCAAAAAAATAAAAGAAACACTTTAAAGAGGAAACGATTTTAAGTTCTCCCTGGAAACAAGGCTTGCCATCATTTGCACTTATTTTTGGTATATCATTGGCATCGGTGTTTCAGAAGCAAAGAGATGAAGAAGTTAAAGTTGGTTTTCCTGCCTCTTTTCTATCTCCTGAAGTGAAACACACTAAGGAATTAGTTCTTGTTGTGCGTCTGCTCAGAGGAGTTGAGCTGGCCTTAAACACCTCAGAGGTAACAAAGTGACTTACCTAGTAAATCCAGGCCAGTCTTTAAAATTCTCCTTCTGTTCTAACCAATGCTGAGCATTCCGAAGACATTTCTCTGCTCATGGCTGTGAGCTGACTGTGTCAGAAAGGTAGACAGATAGGCCTGTGTCAGAAGTTATTGAACGATGATAAATACGCGACTCATTTCAACTCTGTTGACTCTAACTGGCCAGAGAATCCCGATTTTACTTGATAATAGAGACTTATGGGATACCGATGCAAGACTCTCAGGATTTTGCTGTTTGTTTGTTTGTTTGTTTTAGGGGGAGGTCTTTTAACATGAGTGTTGGGGAGCCTTGTGCGGGTCCACCTATCACAGAGCTGCAGCTGTCCCTGAATGACCTTTGCTGTATGAATCCCTTGCCTGCTTTTCCTGTGAGGGTAGATAGACTTTCACCCATGGGTTTTATAGCCGTGAATAGCATCTCTGTTTCTCTTCTTTGTTTCCAGCTGGTGTCTTTAAACAGGAGCTGGGCTTCCCTTAACCTCTTACCTTCTCTTGTTTAGATGGAAGCATGCCTGCAGTCTTTCGGCTGGAAAGGTGAGCAAGCATCCCAGTTAAACCCTTTGTCTACACCTGCTGCTACGGGGTCATCTGGTAAATCAGAATCCCAGCTCATTACATAGGCTGCGGTGCCCAGTTCTAATGGTTTAGCTGCTTCAAAATCGAAATAAAATCCTATATAAATGTCTACCACTGTTGCTGCGTGTTTCCGTGAGCACTGGTGTTATACTGGCCCTGTACGAGAAGGCTTAAAGTATTTGACTTGTACCTGTCTGCTGGGTTTTGAATGTTCATATTGTCAGTGCAGCTTGACATTCTCCACACCCTTGGATTGCCCTGTGTAGTGTGTCTGGATGCATAGCAACTTACTATTTCTTGTACTGTAATGTTTAGCAAGTGTACTCCCCCATCGCATACGCACGTGCGTGAGTGTGTGTGTGTGTGTGTGTGTGTGTGTGTGTGCGCGCGCTTGGAGACTGACCCCAGGGTCTCAAGGATGTTAAGTAAGTCCTTTACCACTGAGTCCAGCAAGTAGATTTCCTGTCCATCATCTTACCTTAATCTTTTTTTTTCCTGTGAAATTCTAAAGCACCAAGTTCCCTCAGCATAGAGGTGTGAGTTTAGAGAATCATTGTCTTTCAGACCAGGTTTGAATAAAATTTGATTTCTTCAAGTAACATGTCTTTAGACACCCCCCCCCCAAAAAGGGTTGGTAGTATTTTTTTCTTTTATTATTTTATTTTATTGCTACTTTCCTGGTGATCTGGTTTCAAAGGCTATTTTGTAATATGATGTTGCAACAGGAACAATGGGGGAGGTCAGTTGGGAGGTGACAGGCTGGGTAAGGTAGGTGACAGAGCCCTGCAGCAATAAAGCCTATTGGCCGCAAGGACAAAAAGAACATGTACTCACTTATATAGGCATTGGGGTTTCCTTTGTCACTAGCGGTGCTCATATTTCTTCTCACTCCTCTGCCCCTTCACAGCGAAGTTCACTCGCAACATTACCTGCACAGTTTCCAGACACTGTCCGTCAGGAGATAAACCCCACCTTCATAGTGAGGTTCACTCCCAACATTACCTATATAGTTCTCAGACACTGTCCGTCAGGAGGTATACCCCACCTTCATAGTGGGGTTCACCTCAACATTACCTGCACAGTTCTCAGACACTGGCCATCAGGAGATAAACACCACCTTCACTGTTACTTGGACACAGGGTCAAGGTGTGTGCTTCTGCTTCCGCCTTCCTCCAGCCGTGTGACAGATCAATGTTCCCTCTGGCTCCTTGCATCTGCTCTCTTCTGCTCCTTGCAGCTCTCAGTTCTTACAGAACTCCCCCCTTCCTTCACAGTGTATCCCTCTAAGGGCCCGAAGGGTGGAAGAAAGGGGTTATGTTACCAGAGAATCAGCTTGTGATGTCTGTCACCACAAACACCAGTGAGCAGGAATGGGGACTGAGTCGTTAAGCTGTGTTTTACAGAGAAGCAGTGTGTTGATACACAGAAGTTTGTCCTACATTTCATCTCTGGACAGCAGGCTGTGAAGGAGCAGGACAAAGTCATTCCAAAGGTCTTGCTTGGCCCTCTGATGAGGTGGTCTAGCCTCATCCCTGAGCTTGCCACCTTTCCCCTTATCATCTCACGCACCTCTCTCTCTCGTTAATGTATCTGCACAGCTGGGCTCAGGACTCAGGACACTGAGTCTGTTAGTGACCTGTGGCATCGCTTCTCTACTCCTCCAGTGCCCCCTGGACTAGGAGATGAGCTCACAGAACAACAAGCCTTTAACAGTGAGCATACTGAGCCATTAATAACACGCGCATGCATGCAGATTGTTCTAATGGCCTCTTGTTGTGGAATATACAACTCTCCCAACACCTGTCCCTCAAAGAAGATGCCGCGTGACTCCGAAGAAGACACACACGCCGAAATCAAAGATATGTGTGGGCTGTTAACAAGACAACTGGGAATAGGAGAGAGAGGGCCCCACCCAAGGCGAACTATGAATCACCACCCTCTCGGCTGGCTCTGCTGCCTGTAGGAGCTCTGCCTGGGACCACACTGGTTGTGCCTGCAAGTTTTACACTTGGCTCTAGGCTAACCAGATCCTTGTCCAGAGGCAGTACCTCAGTTTCTCACTGCCCTTTGATGGGATAGTCTCATGAGGCCATGGCCCTTTGTTCAGGCTTTCCTACCTTCTTCTCTTCTAAGGCTAATTGGGCTAGAAGTAGAGATTAATGGGATTGGCGTGCAAGACTGTGAGGATTTTTTTTGTTCATTTGGGGGGTTTGTCTTTTAACATGGGTGTTGGGGAGCAAGCCCTGAGCCTGAGTGTCAGGGCCTTTGTGTGGGTGTACCTGTGACAGAGCAGCAGCTGTCCCTGAGTGACCTTTGTGGTGTGAGTCCCTTGCCTGGCTGCCTATCCTAGCTCTGCCTCTTACAATGAATAGAGTCCCCAGCTAAGAGGCATGGGAACCAACTGCCATTTTGAGCTTAGCCAGAAGACAGAACAGGAGGAACCTACTGAAGAGGAATGACTATTGAAAGGAAGGAACAGTAGGCAGTCATCCACAAAGCTATCTGGACCTCACCCACTGGGCAGTCCCAGCTGGTATGCCCTGGAGGAAGCAGGTTCTTGTTGATCTCAAGTGGAGAGATATGTAGCTTTGCTATGCTGGTTGGGCCTCCAGGGTGCAACACATGCCAGGCAACGAAATAGTCTTCTCTTTCTTTTCCCCCTAGTTTTTCAAGACAGAGTTTCTCTGTGTAGCTTTGGTTGTCCTGGAACTCACTCTAGACCAGGCTAGCCTAGAACTCATAGAGATCCACCTGCCTTTGCTCCTGAGTGCTGGGATTAAAGGTGTGTGCCACCACCACTGCACTGCCTGGCTTAACAAAACATTCTTAGAATGAAATAAGGCAGCAGAAATGTCTCATGTTCTACTCGCTATCTAGTCTCCTCTTGCCATTGTCTACTGAGGCCAGGAGGTAGCAAGGACTGAGTCCTTTCAAATGTCAGTGTTCACTGGCTGCTTCCAGCCATCCTTGGCAGGGACAGGTCAGAAAAGAGAGCCGTTCACAGCCCTCGTCTTCAAGATGCTGGACTAAGAGAGACAACTGTCACTCTGCCACCCACTTGTCCTAAATTAGCTCCTTGGAGGCTCATGGTGTGAGAAGCTGGCACAGCTGTCTGTAGGCCTACAGATGTTTTCACCTCTGACCCACAAAGACTGAATCAGAAAGGGGGATCAGGACATTCTACAGACCCAGGACCACTTGCTGCTGTCTGGCCGGCAGAGAGCCAGGCTGAACACCTCCAGAAGACAAGAAGTTTCCTACCCCGGTAGCTTTGTCTTGGCGAGTGGTGGAGTAGGAAACATGATTGGCCACTTGGTAAGCTATCTCAGGACTGTTTATGGGAGAGAGACCACCAGAGACGCCCAGACTGTAATAAGCAAGGTTTAGTCAGCATAATGCAAACAGGTTTGGAACCCCTGTCTCCAAATGACCCCATTACAGCGAGGTAGAGAGAGGAGTTGTATCTCCTCTGTGGGGTAAGCTTTTAAAGGTGTAGCTACAAAGAGGCTTTTTGAAGCTGCTTTGGCACCGGTACAAGGACTTTTGCTCCCTCCCATCCTGTTAAGTCAGCTTTCTCTTGTTTTCTTGTTATCACCAGGTGGCTGGCTGGCTGGACTAAGTGACCTTGTGCTCGGAATCTCGTGCTCGGTGGGAAAGGGGAAGGCCACTATCTTCCTGGGAAAACATTCTGCTAGGAAATTTCTTCTGGCCCCTTTGAGAATAAGGGATGAGGGTCCCACATGGACCTCTTAGGACTTGGAGGTAGGATGGCTTGGTCCTTTTAAACTTTGCCTCAGGAAATCCCTCGGACACTTCAGCAAATGAAACTGAGAAGATTTCCTTTCTCAGGGAAGCAGTTTTCCCAGATGCCTATTATAATCAACAGGGTGTTGTTTTAGAATAGAAAAATCACTTTGGTTTAGTTAAATTGTCATTGCCACAGAGGACCATGGTGGGAACAGGCCAGATGCAGGTCGACCGTTCCTCCGTTCCATTTGTGATGGATGGGGAGGTGCAGCTCTGTTCCTTAGCTCCTCTGAGAAACCAGAGGCTGAGCAGAGGCCCCATTCACCCAGAGCAGCAGCCCAGAGGCTGAGCATAGGCCCCACACAGCCAGAGCAACAGCCCAGAGGCTGAGCATCGACCCCACGCACCCAGAGCCAAAGAAGCAGTCTCCAGACAATCTCTCCACTCCGTCCCAGGAGGGGAGTCTTCACATGTGGTTTTATCTCCCTATAACCCCTTTCTGTAGGTCTCAGGCCAGATTTGCTCAGACTGCCTGTGCTTGGTCAACCTCAGCAACTAGGACAGGGACCAGAACATTGTCCCAAAGCCAGGACTGCACTCGCTATCTTTTGGCATTCTGTTGATGGCATGCACTGTGTCTTTGGGGAGAATGCTGGCACACAGAGCCTGCACAGTGACCTACTTACATGCCTGCGTTATTTGATGAGCAGCTAGCTTGAGAGAGTGGCAATCAAGAGATGTGTGTTCCAGATCTCTGCAGCGGAGCAAAGGGCAGGTGGCTCAGCTTGACTGTCTTCACCCCTCCCCCACCTTTAGGCTAGGGCCTCTTTTTGTGACATCCCAAAGAAAAAGTGACTTTGGTCTAGCCTTTGCCTTCCATTTTGCAGCTGCTTGGAAAAGCCCAGAGGGAAGAACTGAAGTGGTTCTGCCCTGCCGCCCAGATACCCTCTGAGCACAATGCTACGAAATATTGCTTAACTCTTGGTGTTGCCACAGGCAGCCCCTCCTTTGCGGAAAAGGAACAAAAAGCTAAATGACCTGAGAGACATTGCCTGAGAGCTGCGGTTAGAACAGCCACCAGAACGCCTGGATTCTGCTCCCAGGTGCCATCAGGACAACAGGCTGCATCAGAGTACTGTACAACAGGAAACTACCGTCAGTGGTTTGGGGAGTTAGGTTTCCACTTAGCTCCAAGACTTCTCTTTCCTCCTGTGACTGCCGGGCTCAAGCTTCACTAAGGTGTTTCCATGCAGGCTGTGGTCAGATCCTGTCTGGGGGATACTCTCTATCGAAACCTGGTCAGAAGTAGCAAATCCGTCCCAGCTCAGAGGGAATGGAGCAGAGCTTTTCTTGTTTAAATACCGACTCTGTGACTCCAAGGGGATCCACTAGAAAGAACAGGCAACATTCGGGTGGCAAGAACTTTATCTGCCCTGTGCTCGGGGCTTAGTAAGTGCACTAGGACACAGTTCCACTTTCTTGCTTAAAGAACTGTCTGAGAGCTGTGACTCTCTTCCCACCATGCAGTCTCCTGAAGTAGCAAAGCTGTTCCCTTGCTCTGGAACTTTAGGTTGTTTTTCTACACAACCCTCAGGGACAAGTGAGCAGATGGGCAGCCCCACCACAAGGCTCTTTTGGAGCCAGAGTCTCAGGAACTGTCTGCAGTGGAGCTGGGAGGCCTAGGCCTTGTAAACGTCTTAGATTCTCCCAGGAAAGCATTTCCGCTCTTCTCGGTCTCTCCAGAAAAGTGTTTATGAGTGGACCTGAGAACACTGTGTCCATCGCAGAAACACAGTTCCTCTCGTATATTTTTCTTTTCAAACATGGCTTTAGATTTCCTTATTTTTATGTGTGTGTGTGTGTGTGTGTGTGTGTGTGTGTGTGTGTGTATGCCAGGTGTGTGCCTGGTGCCGCGTGGTGAACACGAGAGTCAGAAGGCAACGGATCCTCCAGGAGTGGAGTTATAGACGGCGAGGTTACACCCTATGAGTGCTGCCAACTAAACCTGGATCTTCTAGAAGAGCAGCCAGTGTTCTTAACTGTTAAACTATTGTCCTGGCCCCTCTGCTTTAATTTTGTTTTTGCTTTTTTTGAGACAGGCTTTCTCTGTGTGACAGCCCTTGTTGTCCTGGAACTCACTCTGTAAACCAGGCTGGCCTTGAACGCACAGAGATCCACCTGCCTCTGCCTCTTGACTGCTGGGATTAAAGGCCTGTGCCACCACTGCCTGGCCCTTTAATTTTAAAAATTCCATCTATTTATTCATATGTGGGGGAGCACGTGTGTCACAGAGTGCGTGTGGAGGTCAGAGGACACTTCATGGGGGATAGCGCTCCTACTGGGTAGATCCTGTAGGGCCCAGGTCTACCCTTGTTCTTGGGGTTCATCTTGAGGACAGTTTCTGGTCAGCCAGCTAAAACATTCTGTTTGTTCCTGTGCTCCCTCCGCCCACCTGGTGATTAGCTGAAGGGCATTGTTGACTCCATTTTTGGTGTGGTAATTTCCCACCTGCCTGGGCGAAAATCCTTGTGCAGCAGAAAGGTATATAAGGATTTCCCCAAAGTTGAATAAAGGGCATTCGGGTGATCTCCTTTCAAATGACCCGGGTCTCTTTGTGTGTTCTTTCAATCTCCAGGCCCTTGCCCGACTTTCGTGCAAACTGTACCGAGGGGGTAACACAGAATTGGGTGTTACAGATCCTAGGGATCAAATCAAGCTCATTTAACCTTGATGACAAGAGCATTTACCCGCTGAGCCATCGCACTGCGGCAGGAGTGGGGTGTGGGGGAGGGTAGGGGTGTGTGTGTGGGGGGGGTCCTACTGGTGGGAGAAAGACTGTGTGCTTTGGCCCACCCCCTCGCTGCCCTCACACGAATTGGCTGCTGGAACACGGTTGACCAGAAAGCTGAAAAACTGGCGCTGTTCCACGGAGAAGAGCGAAGGCAGAGGGAGCCAGAGGTGAGGCCCCAGGCAGCTGAGGTTTGTAGTCTTTGCTTTTCCTCTCAGAAATTACAAAACAATAGCTGAGTGATTTATTTGGCTCACTGGTCCAAAAATCATCCTTTCAAACTTTCTTAGAGAGAGAGAGAGAGAGAGAGAGAGAGAGAGAGAGAGAGAGAGAGAGAGAGAGAGAGAGAACAGATTCATGGCTTGTTGATTATTGCTGTTCTTTCCTAAGCTATTTTTATGAATTAAATGCAATAAATGTGCACTGACCTGGTGTCCCCATCTAGGGCTCTTAATCAAGTTTGTGTTCTCTGCCAGCTAAAGAATTAAAAGGCAGGAGAATCCTCCAGTGAGACAGAAGCAGCAGGGTATTCTCCAACACAAACAGAGTCAGCGGTGAACAAGTGAGGAAAGGGTCTTATTAGGGGTGAGAGGGCATCACAAGCATGGGGAGAGAGACCCTCTGCCAAGCAGATAGGGGTCTCGGAGTCTGGAAATCCAGTCTCCTCTGGCAGCTAGGGCTAAGTCTTTGAAGGGTCTTCTTCCCCTAATTAGGGTTGGTGAGTTTAAACAAAAACACACTGGCTGATTAACCCATAACTGTTGCGAAAACACATCCTGGAGCCTGTCAGTGGTGGGGTGGTGGCGCACGCCTTTATTCCCAGTACTCAGGAGGCAGGGGCAGGCAGATCTCTGTGAGTTCGAGGCCAGCCTGGTCTACCGGAGCTAGTTCGAGGACAGGCACCAAAAGCTACACAGAGAAACCCTGTCTCAAAAAATAAATAAATAAATAAAAATAAATAAATAAATAAATAAATAAATAAATAATTTTGTTCCAGAGCTACATAGAAAACCTTTGTCTCAAGTCAGGTAAGAAAAAAGCTTGGAGATAAAGAAGCTAGGCTAGATAGCTTGGAAGTCTACTGCCTTCATTACCTTATCCTGGCCCGTCTACTCCATTAGTTGCTTATCAAGGAATCTAACTCCTTGTCCCTCACTAGGAAGGACAAAAACACTGTGGTGAAGGTCACTGTCTCCTTCCCTTCAGGAGTGTACAGTGTGTGAGAAGGTGGGCAAAGAAACCAGCCACAGTGCAGTGGACAAGGCTGTCTGCCTGAGAGGTCACTGAGTAGAGAGACTGCCCAGTGCAGATAGGAAAGAAAGGGTTTCTGAATGAAGCACTCACCCAGGGTTAGACTTTCCTAAGTATGGGGGAGCAGGGACAGTGGTCAAAAGGGATAGAGTGAGCTAGGGGAAGCCAGAACCAGTGCTTCTGCAGGACAAGTCCAGGGCTCGACAGATCATCAGATGCTACTTACATTAGCCTCTGAAATGCCACTCTCTTGTCACCTGGGCTGCTGCCTTGTTTGGGGAAGGAGGTGGATAAATAGGACAGCAGGATCAGCTAGAGAGTACCCCATTCTGGTGTTTCCTATTGATCTAAGCTTTAAAATGTATCGAGAAAATAATTAAGACCCTCTTCAAGACTCTTTAAGTATGCCACTCTGGAAGAATTTTCATCTTGTCATTGTTTCATGACTCTCCTCTCTAGCTTCTGACACCTTCCCCCATTTTGCATTTGCAGGTTCTTACGTCACACAGCCCTCACAAGGAAAACCAGAAGTATAGACCTTGAGAAGCCCTGGCTAGATTTTCCTCTAGAAACTAGAAAGAGATTTCTTTCTCTTCCTTATTGACTTCAGTATTTGCTCCTCTAGCTGGGGATATCTTTGTTTTACTATCTGTCTCATTATCTGTTGGTTACCCTAAGCTGATAAGCCTTGAGCATTGTTGGCTTTGGAATAGGTTCAAGGAGAGCAATGCTGCCAATCATTGGCAAGCCTGTGGGGAGTTTCCACATTTGTCCCCGCTGGTGCCAACTGTCTTGAGGCAAGGACAACTTTTTTACCTTTCAGAGGAGAGAAGAGTTCACTTTGAGAGTTCTCAGAATTTCGCAGTTAGAGGGAATTTCTAAGACTTCTGAGAGTGGTTCTGGGTTTTTGTTTGTTCCGTTTAGATGACAGGGTCTTATCTACTTCAGCAACACCTCTAAGTCTGCCACATAACTGAAGACCTCCTTGAACTTCTAGTGTTTTCACTTCTACCTCGTGAGTGCTAGGATTAGAGGTGTGCGCAAGGTCCTATTCATACAACCTAGGGATGAATCCAGGGCTTCGTGCCTGTGTGCTGGCCATGAAGGCAAGTACTCTACCACTTGCACCCAGAGTGCTTTTGGTTAACGTCACTTCCCCCATCAAAGGGTCAAGGCTGAGAGACTCTGTAGCTAGAGCAGCCCACGATGAACCTGCAGCGGCTGAAGGGGCTCCTTGGCCACTGGACAGCTGCCTTTTTTTCTGACTCTCTGCTGGTGCTGCCCGTGCGTTCTCTTGGAGATCTTACAGGGAACACCAGTGCTGTGGGAAAAGAAGTTGCTTTCACTGCGCGGTGGTGGTGCACACCTTTAATCCCAGCACTCGGGAGGCAGAGGCAGGTGGATCTCTGAGTTTTACCCATAATTCCTCTTCTGATCTGCCTCCTCCCTGATTCTTCCAGTGCCTTAGCTCTTCTAGTGGAACCAGTCTCTCTTTTACACCTTTATATTTTAATAGAAACTTCCGTCTCACGAGGATCCAGGACAGGTCATGGGTAACCAGGGTCTCTGAAATCCTTGTTTATGGGACGGCAACTCATTATTCTAGAGTAGAAAGTACCGGGTCTACTCACCAACATCAGGATTTTCCAAAGGTTGAGGTACACAACAGGTCAGAGGAATGTGAAGATCAGGAGGCAGCAGTCACCGAGCCCCCTAACTACTCCCCGTGCTTCTCTTCCAGGCGAGGGCTTCCACAACTACCACCACGCCTTCCCCTAAGACTACTCTGCCAGTGAGTACCGCTGGTACATCAACTTCTTCTTCATCAAGGACCTTCTTCAGCGACTGCATGGCTGCCCTGGGCCTGGCTTACGACCGGAAGAGAGTGTCCAAGGCTGCTGTTTTAGCCAGGATTAAAAAAAGAACCAGAGCTGGAAACTATAAGAAGGGCTGAGTTTGGTGTCATCTGGGTCACATTCCAGAAACTATCTGGTCAGGGATTTAATGGTCCAGGATGCTAAAGGCAATTACCGTAACCTGTTGCCTTACAGTGCAGCAGTAAAATGGTCACCACTGCAAGGTCACACTGACCTTGATGCTAAGCAGCTCTTGCCTCCTCTTTTTCCATTTCCGTTAGTCTTTCATCTCTGTGGGGTTTTTTTGTTATTGTTTGTTTTGTGTTGTTTCTCAAGACAGGGTTTCTCTGTAGTTTTGGAGCCTGTCCTGGAATTTGCTCTGTAGATCAGGCTGGACTTGAACTCACAGAGAGCCGCCTGCCTCTGCCTCCCGAGTACTGGGATTAAAGTCGTGTGCTACCTCCGCCCAGCTTTTACGTATCCTTCCTGTCTTGTCCTTCACTGCCTCCCTAAGCAGCTGCTTATCCCTTTCAAGTCCTGGAGATCAAAAATAAAGTTCTCTCCAGATAACCCAGTCCCTTGAGGTCTCTTGAGCCTCAGGCTAGAAAGGAAGCACTTCTCTGGGGAAGGCCTGTTGGTTTGTCAAAGCCCATATCTTGCCCAGCAAGAAGAGAAAAGATCTTTATTTGGCAGAGGGCTTGGGAAATAATAAGGGGTGAGAGTTAGCCTGCAGGGTAGAATTCATAAATAATGTTGGCTTTGAGCTGGAAATAAGCCGCTAGAAATATCTTCATGGCCTTGCCACAGGCTCCTTCTTTCTCTCTCCTGAGCGCGTGACAGCCGGGGATATTGGCTGTGCTCAAGCTTTAACTTAGAGGGCACGAAGGAGAAGCTTTTCCTTAGTAGAAATCACAGCCTCTGGGGGGGTGAGGGGAGGCTCTTATTTTCCATTAACAGCAAGCAAATTCCTTATTTCGTGGTGCAGGAAGTCTGCAGGTTGGGTGTGTCCGGATCTGCTGAGAACAGCTGATCACAAGTTTGAGGCGTCATCTAACGTCCGTCATTTTCCTATGCTGACACCTTTGTGATAACGGTTGCTGCTCTCACAGTGATAATCTATAAAATTATACAAAAATCTATAAAATTATGTGTAAATTATATAATATATATAAACATGTAATCTATAAAGTCTATAAAATTTCCAGACATCCAAAAAGAATAAGCATGCTAGGTGTGGTAGCCCTTGTCTTTAACCCCAACACTCAGGAGTCAGAGGCAGGTGGATCTCTACAAGTTTAAAGCCGACTGGTTCTTCAAAGCAAGTTGTAGGCCAGACAGGGTTACATAGTAAGACACTGTCTTTTAAAAAAAAAAAAAAGAAAGAAAGAAAGAAAGAAAAAAAAGGCACATTAGAAGGTAGTGTTGAAACAACCCAAAATTTAAGGTGAACCGCGTAGTTGACTGGATCCTGAAAATGTCCCCGGGCCTCTAGCACTTCCTGCCGAGGAAACTGAATTAGCGTAGAATGAACAGGTCACCCATTCTTTACATTGCTGGGGAGTAAATGAAGCAGGCATCTCCTCAGTTTCTGAATGAAGACATCCAGGAGTTGAGATTTGCTGAGTGACTAGGTATCCTATTGAAAAGAGTTTGAATCTGGGTCCTCTCATGAGCCCCGGTTTCTCTGTGATGTATTATTAGCACTGTTTACATTACAAGACGTCGTAGCTGGGCATGGTGGGACATACCTGAAATCTGGCACTCCAGAGTCGGAGGGAGATTGAGAAGGGCTTCACAACCAGCCAGAGCGACTCAGTTTCATGATGCAATTGACTGTTTAGAGTGGCGTATAAAACTAAGAAAGTCATAAAAAGTGGTTATGGCACTGAAAGAAGTTTTTCTCCTGAGTTTTCTAATAGCCCAATTTTAGTCTCAGAACTAAAACTCAAAGAGGTCGGTGCGGCTTATGAGCAAGTTCGCCATCATTTTCTTTGCTGTCCGTTCTAAACCTAATTTTACTGTGAGTTTGTGGGGGTTTTCTTTCGATCTTTTGGTTTTTCAAGGCAGGGTTCCCCTGTTTAGCCCTGGCTCTCCTGGACCTCACTATGTAGACCAGGCTGGCCTCGAACTTAGAGATCCACCTGCCTCTGCCGGCCAAGAGCTGGGATTAAAGACTAGGGCCACCAGCCTGTCTGCACTGTTTGGGAAGCTTTGGGGCTTCAAAGCAGTCTTGAGGGACTGCCTCTGTGGCCCATCACTCTATGCACACCCTTCACCTTTAACTATGAAAAGGAAGTAGAACCTGCAAAGACTGAGTCATACCCCCAGGAACCTACCCGTCCTAAAAGCAATGTGAGGTTAAACTCTGGCAGCAGAAAACAGTCTGCTGGCATTAACTCAAACTTCAAGCTGACACCACAGCCCGGGGAAATGTCAGGACTCATGAGTCATAAGCTCACAAAGGTTCAACATGGAGACCCTGGGAGAGGCTGAGAGCAGCAGCAGGAGGCCCGCCTAGGAGAGCATTTCTTACCAAACAGCCCAAGCCAGGCAGTCACTTCCTGTCTATAGAATGTCTGCCCCCAAAGAACAAAGAGCCCTCTAAGAATGCCAGGCCTTTGACCTTAGAAGAAAAGGAAACAGACCTGGGCCTTCATGATCCTAGAATAGGGAGGACTTCCTGGCCACAGCAGGGATAGGTGGGGTTTGTTTTGGTTTGGTTTTGCTTTGTCTACTCCATCTGTGGAGGCAGATTTGACTTTACAGTTCGCAGAAGCTCTGGATTCCCGCAATAGCTTCCAGACTAGCATCTTGGCTTCTGAGAGCTTCTAGAACAAGCTCTGTTGGTTTACTTTCTAACCTAAGGTTGGCCTCCATCTGGATGAAATCATGACGTAGAACCATTCTGAAGGGGGATGTTAGTCATTGAGAATACCCCCCCCCCAAAGGTTATCACACTGAGACTTAATTCAGTGGAGACATTTGTTTAACCATTTAAGACCTGGCTTTCTAAGTGCGCGCGCGCACACACACACACACACACTCAAACTCACAAATAAACTGTTTTAATTAAATTATTTGAAATAAACCAGCATACACTCTGTATTTGGTTGTTTTTAATTCAAGGCCAAATAGATAAGAAGGCACTGATGAAACCCAAGTCTTTGGTCAGAGGAAACAGTATTCTCTAGCTTCCAGTGCTGTGTAATCTACCATCTCAAGGAGAAAGAAAACAGAGACTAAAAATATGCCAAGGGCAACCGCTTTAACCTGGAGGCTAAGAAGGCAGATGCCGCTGCTGGAAAAATCAAGACAGCATGTTCTACATTGGCAAAGGAGTCGCAGGCCATGGCACGGACCTACATACAACTTTCTTTAGATTGGCACACATGTGGTGAGCCTAGCAAACTGGAGGACACCATGAAAACATCAATGCCATCTGTCTGTCAGGTGCTGCATGGCAAGCTAGGGGAGGCAGTGTTTTACTGTATCAGCAGCAGTAATTGACCGAATTGAGCTCCCAATGTGGGCGAGATCCCCAGGACAAAAGCAGCAAGACAGCAAGGGCTCTGCTGCGGTGTCTCCAGAACCTCGGCTTTGCCTCCTCTGTTGAGCAGAGGATGAAGGCCTTATGCAAGCATCTTGTTACACCCATTAGCTGCCAGTGGTACCCAGTTATACCAAGAGCAAAGCCGAGGGGAGTGGTCCTGCTCCCTGCCTGGGATTGGCAGGAGGATGAATCCTTCTGCATAAGCTCCCTTTGCTCTTCAAGCACTCAACCTGCTCTAGCCTCATGGTCATCTTACTATCCAGCTACCCCCGAGTTTTAGGCTGTACTCTTAAATCATAGAAAAACCAGGTATTTCTTCTCTGGTTTTCTGACTGAAGCCCACTGTCCTGTAGAGTCCTGGCTCCTCAAGACCAGCCTTCTCCTTGTGGGGAGCAGGGAGATAGTAGAGATTGAACTGAGGATCTTGTACATGCCAGGCAAGGGCTCCACCACTGAGCTGTATCACCCAGTTCCAGTTTTCTCATAAAAAAAAAAAAATCTCCCAGAACTTATGGTCAGGACTGAGTGAAATCATGAGATGATCCCACGTGTTTTTAGTTCCCTTTGTGCTACAAACTGTTGGAAATGTCATGGAAATGGGAGCACGCTGTAACTAGAGTTCAATCTCTGCGGCACAGGCAACTGGCTACTTGGTATACGTACAGCGGCAAATATGCCAGGCAATGATAACAGGATACAAAGAGCTGAAACTATCTTGAAGGCACACACAAACAAAACTCTCCTCTTGCAAAACTCAGGTCTGTCCTTCTGTCCCTCTCCCCCAGACCCCTGTCTTAGAGGGCTCACAAAGGGGACTCGGATGCTCAATACCTAGCATGGACAAGGCTCTGGGCTCAGTCCCCATCACCACAATAAAACAATACAATAGCAAGAAAAACAAAAGGGTCACCGTGGGCTGTGTTGGCACAGAGATTTAGGCTCTGGTTAAGGATCTTGGGGCGGGGGCAAACGGGCATCAACTTCTTAACCACTTTGCACAGGGAACAAACAGAGAGTAACCAGGGCCAGGAGAAGAAACAAGGGAAAGGAAGGTAAAAGACAGAGAAGGGCTTGGAATTACTCCCCTTTCTTAGAAAATTCTGGAGGGCAGCAGCAGAACCCCCCCTGGAGTCTGTGATTTCTGACACACACACATACTTAAACTGAAGTGGATCTCACAGCATAAAATTAGCTCCATTAAATCTGTGGACATTTAGTCCATTCATAACAATGTGCAACCAATACCTTTAGCTCTAAATCATTTTCATCACCCCCAGAGAAAAATCATACCCGCTCAACCGTGGGTCCCCCAACTCCAGCTCCACCCTGTTTCTTAGGCTTTGTAATAATCAACCTTC